CACTATAATATTGTACAGTTCTACTAGTAAGATTACAATTTTAAAAGACAGGTGAAAGTATCTCACCTGGTCTATCTTTGACTGCTGTCACTAGAGACAAACACTATAATATTGTACAGTTCTACTAGTAAGACTACAATTATAAAAGACAGGTGAAAGTTCCTTACCTGGCCTATCTTTGACTGCTGGAACCAAAGACGCTGCTGTCATGGTAAACACATTGGTTACGGCAGCAGCTGAGTCTAGAAATGCTGGAACAGGAGAGGAGGTAGAGGTCAAACTGGACATATGGTCACTTTTATCAGTACTCCTTCTTGTCCTTGCACCCATTCGTTTTAAGCCTGAACCGTGTGATCCACCCCTCCGTGAACCAACAGTTTTCTTTTTAAACAATATGGCTGTTCTGCGATTTACCCCCGATGTTGATAAGGGGTCATCTGATCCCTCCCCTCCATTTTCTGTAGCTGTATTACTAACAACCTTCTTGTTGCCAGTTGTAGTTTCCTCCACATGGTTAGGATTTGTGCCATACACTGTCTTGTTTGCCCCCGTTCCACTAGCTAATTGTCCACACGGAAAAAGAAGAGAAAGACAAGAGAGAGAAATGAAAACGTTCATCGGAATCAAAACAAAAGCAACTTAAAATAATATAGTTTGTAGAGCACAAGCATAATTCACATTTACTTCTCAAGAAATGTGCAACACAACAAACACTTTATTTATTCCATACATAAATTGCACAACTGTCAAATGTTGGTGCTATACATCCATGTAGGAAAGGGTCAGTCAGTTTGCATTCTACTGGTCAATTATAAAGTATCAGTTCTTTAATAATAAAATAAAAACTAGAACTAAACAAGACAAACACTATAATATTGTACAACAAATAACAATGAACTCAAGAAAAAGAGAGGTGGGTTTATGTCCCTTGTGATTAATATCAGCCTAATATCATTAGTGCACTCAATTAACATATACAAAAAAATCTTAAATCAAGGAAAATGTAAAATATTAACATGAATCTGTCACTGAACATTATGTTACAAAAAATGTTGTTCTCACTGAACATTATGTTACAAAAAATGTTTTCCCTAAACATTATGTTGCAAAAAATATTGTTCTCACTGAACATTATGTTACAAAAAATGTTGTTCTCCCTAAACATTATGTTGCAAAAAATATTGTTCTAACTGAACATTATGTTACAAAAAATGTTCTCACTGAACAAAAAATGTT